AGAGGGAGTAGAGTGGACAGGACTATTCATTCACCCTGTAAATGATCGTTTTAGTAGATAATGGCTCAAGAAAAGGATTTAAATATCACAAAGTTATGTATTGTACCTTTAACCCTCCCACTGTCTTCATGGGTGACCTCGCCAGGAAAGTTGACCATTGAGCAGGGTTGATGGTTTATCCCTTGGGTCCATGTGGCAGGGGTGAGGAGTGAGCACCACCTCACCCCTGCCATGTGGACCTCAAGGGATAAACCATCAAAAAAGTTAAAAGTTCATAAAAAGAAAACGTATCATTTATTTTAAGTCTGCAGTTGTTTTTACGCCAGCAGGGATCAGCAGCTGTAAAATGATCTCTGTTCCTCTAAGCTGAGGTTGTTCAACAGATACAGCCAGTAATTTTTCCCACTTCTTATGGAAACCCATCCCCAAAGATCTGAACTAGTGCTGTGAAACATCTGTTGTGGTTAATGTTGCAACTTGTTGCTGAGGAGTTTGGTGGCAGCCATCAACCAACCAGGTTGTGGCTGTGCTTGGCTCAGACTGGTTTGACTAAGGATGAGATGAGTCATTAGGATGTGAAGAAAGGTCCAGTCCAGTCAGAGTCACAAGGCAGGAAACACATCTTTACAAAGTTTAGAGTGGAGTCAGAAGAGGCTGCGTTCTGTGCTTGGTGGACTAGAAGGTTCAACGGGAAATAAATTTCTTCTTATTTTTTGAAAATGATCGTTACTCAGACTTTAACATGCTGCCTGAACATGAAAATAGTCTCCTACACCTTTCTCCTGCATTAGCTTCTGATAGGAAATAGATGGTGAAACTCTAGGATTAGAAAAGTGACAGATCTACATCACAGTCAACTCAACATTCATGGACTCATCTATCTTGACTCACGACGGGGAAGGCTGTTGTTAGTTTAGTGTCCACGAAACAGCAGTGGATGTCTCGACTAGTAGAAGCTAACTGTTAGCATTAGCAGCTCCTCCACACAACAGAACTCCTCCAGGCTTGCGTTACTTGTGGAGATAAACAGTCAGTGGTGGAGTGGCGTTGCTGTTCATAGGTGCAGCCAAGGTGTTACCCCAAAATTCCACTATCTCCGCTCCGCCCCCGCTTTCCGCTGCCGCTCGCTTCCGAACTCAAATTATACTGTACCCGCTCTACAATGGCTCCGCTCCGGTGCGGAGACCTGAGGTGCGCAAACAGGCATGCGCGGTATTTTCGAGATCTTGCGATACAGTCCGAGCAATAAACGCAGAAGTTAGATCCAAACACCCGTTGTGTGGGAGAAGCATCGAAATGAACTGTTTAATCTGCCCATCATTTGTGTTGAGAGATCAGCAGTGTTTGGATCAACAAAGTGTGACTACTTTGATAGTGGAAACTGTATTTCTGGCTTATTTTAGTGCATTTAAAGTTCAGCCGCCATTGATAGTTGTTAAAAGTTGTTAAACCTGTGCATATGAAACAAAAAACGCTTTTTGTTTATCGATTTATTGTGAAATAACGTAAGTCGTGCTTGCTCCCTTTCCTGTTGGGCGGTTGTGATTTCTGTCCATTGATTGCGGAGGTGCTCCGGCGTCCGGCAAAAAAAGAATCGATCCTATTTTTGCTGGATGGCGGAACGGCGGGTGGCGCACGGCGCCGCACGGCCGCAGTAGTGGAACAGCTCTGATTGACTACAACGGGACCGTTTTTGCTGCAGAGTTCGTGCCGGAGCGGAGCGGAGATGGTGGAATTTTGGGGTTAGGGGATCCATTTGATGTACTGTAGATCAGATCTCTGCTTTTTGCAGAGGTGAGATGTCCAAATATCAGGAAATTAAACAAAATTTGCCGTCCGAAGCTACTTTCTTCTCTGGGTAACTTCAACATCCTGAAACAGGTGCACCAGAGCTTTTTTTCCTCAGAGAATGACTTACAGGGCATGTATTCCTACTCGAGACCACTGCAAATGTATGAAAAATATGATGTTTTTACATAAACCCAAAGATAATTCCTAGAACAAACTGGAATGAAGCCGACATTCCTTTGAACCTGCTGTGTGTTTCCTCTGTATACAGTGAAGGCAGTCATTTAGCGAGCCCACGCTAGGATAATGTGTGTGTTTGTTGCTCCTGCTGATTTTCTCCAGCGGCTCCTGCTTGGTCCCACGATGGCTCTTTGGACTTTTGCCTTTGACTGTTCAGCTGGAGGGAAGAAACTCCTTTCATTATAGAAGCGGGCTGCTTCTTGATGAAAACATTCAAAACACAAGACTGGCAAAGATTATCATAATAGTTTTTTCTGTGAAAAGATTGTTGCATAAAAGATGACTCGGGTTATATGGAAGGAAGAAATCACTTTTAGAGTGATATTTGGAGCCTATTTTCTACAGAAGAGCCTATTTATTCAGATTCTGGTTTATGTTTTTTAGATATGCTGAGGCGTGGACTGAGGTTCTGTCAGCTTAGCTTTTGTTATTTTCAGGAACTATGAAGGAGACTTGTGTGAAGACCTTCTCTGCTGCATCGAGCTAACCTGCAGTAGAGATGCTCTAGGAGGACGTTTGCATGAGTTGCTATGAATGACTGCTTCTTTACTCGCAGGACGACAGAAATTAGTTTATTTAACTGAATACTTTTATAATTTATTATGTAATTGGATCAACTCGCCTCTCCTTTGGTGTCATCCCTCGCCTTTGTACTGGTTTAGTTGAGAAGCTGCTGGAACAATCTTTGTTCTCAAAAAACAATCTGAGCACCACGTGTTGCACAAGACAAACATCTCTAGTATAATTCTCCACCTCCACACTCATTGCAACAAATTAAATGAAGAAACTTTACGGCATTTCAGACAGCCTCAGGTCTGATTAATTACAGCAGATGTAGAAAGGTGATGATCAGACACTCAGCCAGATAGATCCTGATGCTCATTATCTCATAATCAATGAAGCAGAGGGTCTCAGTCATAAAACACAAAGTCTTTTCTCTGTTCCTGGGTTCATTTTCTCTTGTTGCTGCACTCATTCAAAGTCCATGAGAAGATGGATTACCTGCTTTCGCTCTGCTTTTATTACATTTCGGCAAAATTTAGACAATAAAAGACGTAAGTCTTATGTCTTCCCTCCTGGGTTGGGGAGTGACTAAACCAGTGTTCCTCAATTATTCTCTGTGAAGCTCCCCCCTAGGGTACGTATAACTTTTACGGGAAATATATTTGGGGGGGTACTTGCGCACATCTCAGTCGGAGTGGGTGGTTTTGTTGTCGTGTTGTCAGCAGGAGTGGGGTGTGGTGTGTGTTGAATCTGGCATCTGCTTTGGATTGTCGGTCTGTGAATCTCCAAGCGACGGAGGGTGTTGCGGTTTCTTGCACCCGCCCTTGCCTTCCTGGTGGGGGTGCGCCCCACTAATTGAGAGCCACTGGACTAAACCCTGATTGAATCATCAACGTGTCCCGTTACATCAAGAGGAAACCTAGCACTGCATCTCAGAAAAACATCATCCTACCAACAGCCAGACATGGTGGCGGTAGAAGGATGGCCTGGGTCTGCTTTGCAGCTGGAGCCATGAATTCTGCTCTCTAGCTGAAAATCCCGAAGGAGAATGTCTGACCTTTGACCTTAAACAGGCCACAGACTCAGACTTGTTATCACAATCAATTTCCCTCTGGGATTAATAAAGTATTTTTGAATTGGATTGAATTGAATTGAATTGAATTGAAAAGCACGATTGCTGTTGTTGCCACCAGGACGGTCAAATCCAGGTAATTAGGGGGAAACAACTTTTTTTAACTCAGGCCCAGGTTGGTCTGGATAACTCCTTTTTCCTTTTTATAAATTAAGTCATCATTAGAAGACTGCATTCTGTATTTACTCAGGTTATTATTGCATGAAGGTTCTATGAAATCAGCGGCATTTGTACACACACGTTCTTATTTCAACGTAAGAAGATTGTCTTGTTTGTTTTGTGACGTTGATACAATCTTTTCAAGTCCTGTAAAAATGTCACCAGTACTATTCTTGCTTTACCACACTGCTCTGTGTGTTTCGTAATTAGCTGGTGAAGGTACTCAAGTCATCCAGGTCTTGGTAATCCAAAGGGCTTCGACTGAAGGCAACTGGACTTCTTTGGTTTCTTGAAGACGTTTCACTTCTCATCCGAGGATCTTTATCATTTTTAACTGGAATATGAGAGAGTCAAGCTTATAAACTGTAGCTGTTTATTGTAGCTTGACAAGCAGAAACTACTAATGAATACCCCTCCTCCCTTCCTCCTGAGGAGTCATTGAAGTTGTTAGCCTCTATTGTGTGGGAAGTGTTGTTTTGACTGTAACCATTTTCTTGTATTGTTGATTTGGTGAGTTCAGCTTCTTGTTCAGGATTTCCATCATTTGGTTCTTTGTGGCACACAGTGTAATAAAGATTTGTTTTTACGTTTGGATGGAGCCTTCCTCAGAGCAACACTGATGTTGGTGGTCACTTCCATCTCCATTTATCTGCGGCCAGCAGAGGACGACGTCACCCTCTGCTGGCCGCGCCTTCCTCGCCAATGACCCTGTCCCATGAACGGTCCAGTGTGTGTTCTCCTTTGTTTCTATTGCTTCCTTAATCCAAAAGTGTATTGCTTTTCTTATTGAGAATTTACATGCAAACATGTTACTGTTTATTTTTGTGTGGTGTCATTGAAACTCTTAAAATAGCAAATGTCCTCTAGTATTTAGTGTCACAAAACATCGTACAATCCCCTCTGTATTGTGATTTATATTGTATCACCAGATTACTGCCCACAGACACCCCTAATAGAAAATAATACCTAAAATGATCTATCTGTTCGTCTAACTTGTTGACCTGATATGTCCTCCCTGGATCCTTCAGTCAGTGCCCCAGTTTTGTATTGATGTATTTATAATGAAGGTTTGCCTCCTGTCCTTAGATGACATTAACTGACAATGTGTTGCAGAATATGATGCTCATGTTAACGTTAGAAGTTCCCAGGCAATATATCTGTGTTTGTATGTCCTCAGGTCCACACAGCACCATGTCCCACTGCCCGCCCAACGAGTACCAGTGTGGAGGGACGGAGCTGTGCATCCACATGAGCAAACTGTGCAATGGGGTCCCAGACTGCACCGATGGCTGGGACGAGGGAGCGCACTGCAGAGGTAACCGTATACACGTCTGCAGATCCTGACATGTGTGTAACACACACTGTTTATATGTTGGGTAGAACTTTTTCTCTGAATGTTGGACTTTTGAGCCACTTTCTCCGTGGAGAGGCACTGTGTGTCGTTCAAAAGCATTTTAGTGTTCATTTCACATTTAGGAAGTGCGTGTGTGTCGAAAGCAGAAACCAGGAACTGGCTAACGTCTTTTTTAAGAATTTGCTGAATGAGCTGACATACATTAATTAAACGTGAGAAGAAATATGGGGAAAAACATGGATGGATTGCGAAATTGAAAGAAGAGGAACTCAAGGACTTCCTCTTTCAGATGCCATCAGTTGTTAATAAGTAAAAATGAGAGACTGATAACCATAATAAAACATCTATTGATCACTTATTAGTTCTCAACAACCGGAGGCCAAAATCCCACCTTTCCTGCATCCTTGGTTAAAACGTCTGAAGGGCTGTAAAATGTTCATTGCAAACACGTAGAGAGGAATCACACATTCATGCACTTCGAAGGATGGTAGCATGTGTGTGTTCACCTCATAACAAGGACACACACTCTGCTTCAATGAGGTTGCACTAATGGGGAAATATACGTCTGCAGATCCTGAAATGTGTGTAACACACGCTTAATTTCCCTCTGGGATTAATAAAGTATCTTTGATTTGATTTGATTGATTTGAAATACACCATGCTCGCGGCTGCCCATTTTGTTAGGGTGTGTGTGTGTGCATGTGTTTCTGAGTCTGAAACACTTCTTTATGTTTGTCTTTCCGATGCGCCGCTACCTTTCCCCAGTCTGACAGGATTTGTTTGCATCTGAACCGAAATAGAGCTTCGTATCTGGGTTTTGTTTGATCTAAAATAGATGTGCCTCAGAGGCTTGTTTACATTGTTGCCCATGTTGGTTTTTGTGAATCCCTTTCACGGTTGGTTCAATGCTTTGACTTGTTTTGGAAAATTCTGGGCATGTCTGTAATTTGAGCTGTGGTCACCCCAGCAGGCCTCTGGATTGCAGTGGGAACACTTGTGTACTCTTTCCTGTCAACTGTACAGAGATTGGCAGGTTAGTGGTTTTATTGTGCAACTCAGCTAATTGAGAGTGTAAGAAAAGTCGTGGATACCTGCTAAAAATGCACCAACCGGAGAATTCTGCTGATTTGTGACATTTGTTTTTGCTTTTGCTCGCACTGATTGCCCTTTTCACCCACTTAGGCTCATGGAGAAAGTGTAGACACACAGCCAAAGAAGTGTGACATTTTTTTTATCTTGGAATATTGTCGTATTTTGATCTAATTTGTCTCTTCCTGGAGGTGTTTTGTTTGTGTGAAGAGTCTGCCAGTATTTCTGGGGAAAGTGAATCACTTGTGGCTGCTGGATGTCAGGCTGCTTTGACACAACTGAGTGTGTTTCCCTGTGAGTCACTGTGTCTTCACAGGAAGTACGATGCACTTTGGAAAACTGTGTTAAGATGCCATTAAGAGGTTTGCCGACTAACAAGAAGGTGTAGTTAAACCTTATTGATTTATTAACAAGGGCTGCACAGCACATCTAGAACATTTAGTCAAAGCAATATCAATGTGTGTATTTATTATGATTTCAGTGTGACAGGGCTATTCTGGGCAATCTGATGGGCTGGCACTGGGAGTGTTGTTTGAGTAGGAATGACAGCAGAGTGAAGCAAATGCAGGTTTATCACTCCAGAAAATGTCATTGAGATAGTCAACAGTATTGTATGTTTTCCTGACTTTAATCCTTTCCCGGCTTTTTACTGGATGCGTTTTTGCCACACCGCCACAGCTGATGGGTGCGTTTCTACACTCCCGTCAAACACAATGCAGATCACATCTCTGTCAGTTTGGTTGTTGAGCTGATGAGGAACCGAGCCGACTTTAATTTGTTATGCCTCCACACTGGCGACAGCCGTGGCTGGAGGCATCCCATTATCCATCACCGTCATTCTCATAACAGCTGTATCCTGATGGCCCTGAAGGAATGAATAAAAAACCAATTGGTGTGAAGGATGAGCTGATTAGATTTCATTGATCGCATGTCACTGTGGCCTTAAGAAAATCACATCTTTAGTTTAAAAACCTTGAATAATATCATGGAAAATCAAAGTAACAGACTATTGTTTGATGTT